ATCAAGTAAAGTGTTGGGTTCAACTAACAAACACCTAGCTTTACAAATGAAGGATATATTTCTATTTCTATTAATGATTTAATGTATATTTGAAACAAAGAGCATTTAACTACCCTTATGTTAAATCTATTCTAAAGCTCCAAAAATTACAGTGAGCACATAATAATGTCATGAAGCTACTATAAAATTTTTAAAGATAAAGTTATCACCATTTTACCAAAAAAAAATCCTACAATAATTAACTTAATAATATTGACCACTCTCAAATGATTTAATAGATCCTAGTATCAACAAGTATATATATGAACTAAATACACTAACAAATAAAGCACAATTTTAGGAACTTAACAAAATTGGTTTCATAATTTTTGGACACCTACATGATTTTATATTAATAACCAAAGTTCAGCTCAGAAATACAAATGAAAAGCTATTTCTATTCTCCATGAAAAAGCTAAACTGATTTCTACCCAATGCGGCCCACACGCATGCAGCGCGCGCGCGAGCACACGGCGGCCCGCGGTGTAGCCCACGCAGCACTGGTCCACGCACGCGAGGCGTCCCACAGCGAGGAAGCCTGCGTGCGCTGGCACATTAGCGAAAACGCCCCTGGACTATGAGCAAAACAACCCGCAGTCCACGTTACTATTTCTATAGTCAGCGACTTTGTAACAAAACCCTCGGATCTTCTTCTCTTTACAACGGCAAGGCCCTCGACCTTCCCCGCGCGCGTCGGCATGGCGAGTGGTGGCACTGGCGCTCACGCCGGCCACACTGGACCCACGCTGACCTATCTCAAGATCGACGCTCACCTAGGGTTCGACGCGAGACGATGAGTGGCGGTTGCATGAGCCGGGACGCCATAGAAGGACCTCTCCACAATGGCGGGCACCCTACGGCAATGGCGACGATGTTCAGGTGAGCCGCAGCAACAACAAGGCGGTAGGGGTAATGGGTGAGCAGCGACAACTCACTAGTGCCCCTACCGAGAAGCTGGCTTGGCCGGAGACGACCCGAGCAAGGCTAGCCACGTGCGCGCGGCGAGGTGAACGATGGACGCACTAGAGCTGCGACTAGCGCGCGCACGACAAAGAGGGAGCCAAGGAGAGCTAGTGGTGTAGAGGAATTGGTGCGGGGCGAAGGGGTGAAGAATGGCCACGATGTGGGCGACGACGGGCCTTAACGGCACTGTGGCGGGCAAAGCTCCAAAATTGGAGCTCAGCGTGATGCGAGTCTAGGCACGGTGGGGTCGGCTGGAGAGGAGACTTGAGGGTAGAGATGCGAGCACGAGGAATTGATGAGAGGTGCTCGCTCTCTGGCTTCACCGTGACGTGACCCGACGGCGGCGGAAAACAGAGGAAGAGAGAGACGGGGCACGGCAATGGGTTTAGTTCGTCCACGCCTTGGCGGGACACGGCCGACCGGACTTAAGGCGGCGTCTGTGTACCCACTACATGACAATGTGGCCAAACCTTGTGCGCGCGCGTGGAGGCAGGTGGGGCACGGCAGGCGCGGCCGCAGCGCCATTAAGGCGGGATGACGGCGTGGGGCGGGTCGACAGTGCGGCGGCAGCACAGCGTCGCAGTGGAGTCAGTAGCGGTAGCATCGCGACGTGAGGCGGGTCGGCAGTGCGGACGCAACGGCGAGTTGATGGCGTCGACAACGTCACCGTCGCGGCGTGTGCGGGGCAGTCGGCTGCAGCAGCGGCTCCGCGCAGCGGGGCCAGCGGCAGCCGAGACCTGGCTAGGCCAGAGGCGGCCGCACATGGCAGCACGCGCACGCACACGCGCGACCAACGCGGCGACGCCGAGTGCCCGAGCGCGGTGATCGTGGCCACGTGGCCAACCAGCCCAAAACCGTGACACACACGAATTTTAAAGTGTTCAACACGACCAAACGGTTGCTTTAGGACCCAAACCATCTTCACCATGCTCAAGATGACACATAAGACTACCAAATCGAGCTATAACACTATACTACTGCATAACCCAATCTCTCACAATAAATTGCTAAACATAGCAGTATCTACCTATTGACAAACTTGAAAATTTCTATGTTTTTGAGCTGAATTTGATTTAAAGTTTCATTTCTAGACTATTAGAAATACTAGCAAGTAATATTATTTTTCGACCACAAGTATTTCACTATCATCTACAGAATCTGTACTTCTAATTTTATTAAGGTGACACATATATGTTCTATAGCATTTTTGCTTAATAAAAATTGGTTTTAAACCCTAAGTGATATAACATGACTATCGAATCAACTTTCGTTTGGCATTTTAGTTGATCGTTTTGAGTTATGGAAATTGATCTACACACTTTTATTACATGCATTACACATAAACATGATGCTCATGACATGTTTTAGTAAATGATTTATGGTGTAACTCCGAGGGTGTTACGGTACCGATATGGCTAGTATGTTCAGCACATCTTCTTCCCAAAAGATATCCTTCACAAGCTCAGTATCCCAATTGCCAGTATAGGGATCAATCAATTTGGAGACCTTGGACAGCAGAGTACCACCCCGAGGGGTTCTTGACCTTCTAGAAAAACCAGATGGAATCCATGGGTCTTCCCAAATATGAACACTACTGCCATCGCTCTCAGACCCCTCAACAGACTCCGCCAGGTATATGACAACCCCGGAACCTTAGTTGCTGCCCACAGATTTCCACCAGGCCAATACTTGGCTCTCAGTAGATGAGCACACAATGAGTCTGAAAACTGGATAAGCCGCCGGCTCTGTCGGGCCAGCATAGCTAGATTGAACAAATGCAGGTCCTGATAACCCAGCCCTCCCTTCTCCTTGCGGCTTGAGAGTGTCTGCCAGGAAAGCCAATGCAACTTCTTCTCATTCTCCTGTTGTGCCTACCAGCACCTGCATATCATGGTGCTAATCTCATCACACAGTGACTTGGTGAGGTCAAAGCAAGATATAGCATAGCTCGAAATCGCTTGTGCCACAGCTTTAATTAAAGTTTCCTTTCCAGCTCTCGACAATAATTTCTCCTTCCATCCCTGGATGCGCTTCCATACTCTATCCTTCAAATATGCAAACATCTTAGAGCGAGATCTACCCATATAAACCGGCAGCCCGAGGTACTTATCACTTTTGGCCTCCTGAGATAACTCCAGAGCAGCCATAAACCCCAACTTCATCACCTGTCCACAATTCTTACTGAAAAAAATTGATGACTTATCCTTGTTTATTATCTACCCCGAGCACTCCTCGTACAGTTGCAGCACATGTCGCAGATGACTTGCATTACTTTCATTAACTTTCAGGAGAAGCAAAGAATCATCCGCGAACAGTAAATGAGTTATACTCGGTGCACCCTCGCATATAGTGACACCCTCTAAATTTCCAACCAGTTCCGCTTCATTCAACAGCCCAGAAAAACCTTCAGCACATATAAAAAATAAGTATGGAGATAGGGGACCCCCTTGCCGCAAACCTCGAGTGGGAACAATCTCCTCAGTCAACTCCCCATTCACTTTGATTTTATATGACACCGTGGACACACACTGCATTATCAGCTTTACCCATCGGCTATCAAATCCCATCTTCTCCATCATCCTAGCAAGAAAATGCCATTCAACTCTATCATAAGCTTTGCTCATATCAAGCTTCAGTGCTGCATAACAGTCCCCGCCACTTCTTTTGTTCTGAAGAAAATGTGTTAGCTCATAAGCAACCAATACATTATCTGTGATAAGTCACCCAGGGACGAATGCACTCTCATTCTGTGAAATAATCTCAGGCAGGATCAATTTTAACCGGTTAGATAACACCTTGGAGACAATTTTGTATAGTATGTTGCATAAACTTATAGGCCTGAGATCCTTCAAGCTCTCTGGGTTCAGCACCTTTGGAATCAAAACCACAATAGTTTCGTTCCACTGTCGAGGCAGATCACCTCCATTTAAAAATTGCAGCACCTCTCTAGTAACATCCTCCCCAACCGTATCCCAATACTTTTTGTAGAACAAAGAGGTCATAGTGTAATACCATCAGCACCAGGCACTTTGAAGTTGCCAATCGCATCTAGCCCACCCTTCACCTCTTCTGCCGTGAATGGCCGAAGTAGAGAATGGTTCATTTCAGCAGAGACTCTGGGGAAATATGCAACAGTAATTCCTCCATACGAGAACCTGCAGTGGCAGTGAATAGATTCTTATAAAAATTAGAGATCAGGTTCCTGATCGCCCCCTCATCTTCTACCACCACACCTCCTTCCGTCACCAGTTTATTAACCTGACTCCTCCTCTTTCGTTCAGAGGCATATTGGTGGAAGAAACGTGTGCTTCGATCACCTTTATCCAACTAGTGAACCTTCGCTCTCTGACGCCAGTATAGGTTCTTCTTATCCTCCAATCTCTCACGTTTGAATTTGAGAAATTCCTCCCTCTGCACCGACTCACTGGACACCACTCTACGCCGACATTCCTCCAGCTTCTTCCTTATTTTTTTAATGCCCTTCTCCAGCTCGCTAAGAACATTGCTCCCCCACTCCCCTAGTTCCCGTGCGACATTCTGGATTGCAGCGCCCACACTATCCCTCCTCGCCACCATATGGAAGTCTTTCAGGCATTCTCCACAATGGTGGCACATTCCTCCTCTTCCACCCAGCTTGCCTCGAAGCAAAAAGCCGGCGGGCCTCTCCTCCCACCATCGCTACGAGGTGGATTTGTATCCACTATAACTGGACGATGGTCGGAAAGACGTTCTTCCCCGTTAATCACACGGTGTAGAGCGAACCGTGCCATCCACTCATCATTTGCCACCGCCCTGTCCAAACGTTCCTAGGTATAATGGGCGCTGGTATGGCTATTGTTGCGCTATGTGAATGGATCACCTTCAAAGCCCAAATCCGACAACTCACACTCTTCCAAGGCTTCTCGGAATCTATCCATACAGCCCTGGCTACGTGCCGGTCCTCCTTCCTTCTCACAGCCCAACAGGATCTCATTGAAATCGCCCAAACACAACCATGGTCACCTACGCGCTGCATTGAGTGTGCGCAACGCTTTCCATGACAAGTACTTCTGCTCCGGCTCGCCGTAGAAACCGTTGAGCCGCCACAAAAAGCCATCTTCTTTCGTCACCTCCGCGTCAATATACATGCGCGAGATGCCTCGCACATGTAAGTTGATCCCCCTCCGCCAGGAAATCGCAAGCCCACCACTGCGTCCCGAACAATCTTTCACAATCATGTTTGGCAAGCCCAATTTCCACCGGAAACCTTTGATCCTACTCACATCCATTTTTGTCTCGAACAAGAATAGAACATCGGGGTCCTCCTCCTTCTGAACATTCATAAGGCCCCGAACTGCTGCGCCGTTCCCCAACCTGTGGCAGTTCCACGCTATTATCTTCATTGGGACGCGCAGGGCTGTTCCGACAGTCCCGCTTCACAAGTTACGGATTCAGTCATCTTCTCCACCGGACCCTCTTGTTTGGACCTCTTCACACCACTCTTCCCATCAACATCCATCTCCGCCAAATCATCCCCCTCTCCTCTTCTTCTGTACTTTCCCCAGGCTCTTCTCCCTTCCCGATCGAGCTCTTCTCATCCCTCTTCACTCTCTTAAACTTGCGCAGAGATTTATCTTTCTCCCCATCCTTTTCATTGATAGATGGAGCATCTTCCATGGTACTGTTCACGTGCACCTCACTGTGCCCCCCCCACACCCCCGTCCACCACCTGCTTGGGGAATAGCTCCGCCTTCGCAGCGCCAGAACCCTGCTCCGAAGGCCGCATATCCTTCAAAGGACTTGTCACCTCCTCACCATCATTCTTCTTCCCCTCGATCAGCTTCACACTATCCTTCTCCGAATCCTTCCGCCATGAACGGCCATCAGACCGAGACTTGCCCCCACTGCTCCAGTTATCAGAACGCCCACCTCTCCATGACCCCGATCCACCACTCCCCCCTGACTGCATCCCACCCAGCTCTTGGTTCTTGTAGCCAAAGCCCCCGAGCGGCCTACGGGGAGGCATATAACTCAACACCTTGCTGTAAGCGGCCTGCTCATCCTTCTCCAATTTCTTAGAACAAACACGATCCACATGACCGATCAGCCCACTTTTGTAACAAAAATCGGGCAGATGCTCATACGTGATCGGGCACCACCGTTCTCCCTTGTCCGTCCCCAGATCCGCTGTAACACCTCGACGTAGGGGTTTATGAATATCCAGCTGGATCTTGAGACGAAGAGCCTTGCTCGCCGCCGAATCGCCGCCATCCGCATCCACCACCATGAACTCACCCACATCATCTCTAATTGCCCTAGCCGCAGCTAAAGATGGATACGGGTATGTTACCCGCAGATACAAGCCTCATAGACCCGCACCCGCGAGAGAAATTGTGCGCACGCACCCGCGCCCACCACCCGCCACGGGTAGCATTCTGTGCCCGCACCCGCTATCCGCGGGCATGTCTTGCCCGCGGGCATGCCCGCATGCCCGCCAGCGCGGTGGGACAACGACCTACACGGCGGGAACGATGGCCTAGGTCGGAGCCTCGGAGGCTCAGAGCAGGGAGGCCAGCGACCGGTGGCTGGCGTCAAGGCTCGGAGGATGGCTACCGGCGTCGGAGTGCGCTGGATCTCAGAGGAGTCGTGCGAGTGGGGGAGGTGCTGCCACCAGAGTGGGAGCCTCGAAGCAGGAAGGCCGGCGTCCGCTAGCTGTCGGAGTAGGGAGGCTGGAGGCCGGCGTCGGGGTGGTGCAAGTGGGGGAGGCGTGATGCCCCATGTGGAGGAGCCACGCCGACGCTACGAGTGGAGGAGCCGCGCATGACTACGAGTGGGAGAATGGGGAGGCGAGGTCACGGGTGACGGGCTGGTGGCGGACGCTGGTGGGAATGGGATTGTGAATTTGGGGCCAATGAAACCATAAGATGAAGAATATATACCTCTTCTGCAATGGCCCCACATGTCAGCGTGGGTTTGGCGGGTTTGTGGGTGCGGGCATGCTATTTTCTTACCCGTAGAGCTTTGCTCATTGGATCAATTCTATACCCGCGTCCACGCCCGTGGGCATAGGTTCACGCCCGTATCCGCGCCCACTGGGTCCAGTGCCCACGGGCACACGGGTTTTTCCTTCCCGTTGCCATCTTTAGCCGCAGCTCGATTCATCAGACCCAGAGGAAGGCGCTCCACCCTCAACCAAATCAGAATGAAGGAAAATTCAAACTCATCTAGGGATTTAAATTCATCAAACTCCGTTACCACCAGGAGTTCCTTCGATATCATCCAAGGCCCATCATCCAACGCCTTCCTTAGCCCCATCGCCTGGTTGAAAGAGATCAAGAAGACATTATCTCTAAGATCCCTGCAGGAAACCCCCTTCATGGGACACCAGATCCATCCAACAGACTGCTCAGTGACATCGGATCGAACACTCCTCTCCGTGAACAACTTCGCCACCGCCTGGGGAGGGCGATCTTTCTCCTCGCTCCTAGATTCCGCCCTGATTTTGATGCTCCTCTTCTCCTCCGATGACAGTTTCAGATTCTTCATCAACCCCTCAACCCCCTCCATTGGATCGAACCAGGGATCCCGAAGCCGAGACAGCCAAAAGCCAGTGACGATCCAAAGAAACTGGTGGACTCAAGGTGCATAGGTTAGCAGAAACTAGGGTTTAGGTTTTCGGGGAAACACAAGGCATGAACTTGGCCAACGCACCAATAGACCTAGCTGCAAGGGATCAGTGCGCAAGGGAACCTAGACGGGGATCTCCAAGGCTGAAACGCGCTAGGAGATTAGGGGAGGAAGAAGGGGCGAAAATCTGGATGTCACCTACAAACCCACTCAAGACGCCTATGGAAACCCTAGGTGCCGAGAAAAAAACAGCCACCCCATAGAGTTATGTGCACCACCCGGCCTGCAGCTAGCCCATATACGAATAATGCATGGAACATATGGACCAACAGGGTTACAGCAGACGTACTCACATTTGATGTTGGCCCAATCAACAACCACGTAGACGGGCGGATGACAGAGACGTGACTATTCCTTACTCTCTTCCTGCTTTCACTTTCAGTGAGGAAATGTCGCCTAGCTCCCCGCCACCCTCCCCCACCCCTCCCCCTCAAAAGTAGAACATACAAGTCCTTGCCGGTGGCCGGCCATCGGAATCGTACGTTTGCCTCCTCGCCGGAGTCGCCGTCGGTGGAGTCAATAATCTCAGGTCATAAGTTATCCTCGCTCATATTCTTGCTGGCCACTGCACACGATAGTACGCAATTTATTTCTTCACGATTTTTTTGGTGTAAATTCATTTGTCTTGAGCGATTGAGGTTGTTATTCTAATTCAATCTCTGACTACCAATCCTCTGCTAAATTAAATTGTAGGGTTAACCAGTTAGGGTTTGGAATTGGGGTTTTGGCGTTTTTCCTTTGCAAATCGAGTGGTGGCCATGGGCTAAAGGATAACTGGACAAACATTCAAGAAATTGAACAAGCCTATAAAAATCATGTCAAGTAATTTTATGGTCTATGGATGTCTAATTGGTTCATTGTTAATTTTTTCATTGATTTCTGAATAGGAGCATGAACATTTAATTAAGATTTTTAAGAATGTGTTGCAGGTAAGTTTAGGGATAGATGGTTGAAAAGAAAAGTGCTAGATGATGCTAACAATGTGGATAATTCTAATCAACATGATACCAGTGTTGTAGTTTCAGCTCCAGAAGATATCTATTTGGAGGAGGAGATCCAATTTGATCCAGGATAAAGGAAAGAAATGTGTGCCTATCATCCTAATATTAGAGAATCATTGAGAAGAAAGTACTTGATAAAAGGGCCTTGTCAACCTTGCACTCTTTTTTTTCATCGACTAGGATTGGAGAGAAAAATAGAAGGTTTAATCCTGAATGGTTTGATGAATTTAGAAATTGGCTTGAATATAGTGAATCCACTCATAGAGCCTATTGTTTTACTTGCTTCTTGTTTAGGAATCACACTAAGAAAGGGGCTGGATATAAGTCATTTGTTGAGGATGGATGGAATGGTTGGAATAATAAAGAATGGTTAAAGGAGTATGTTGGTGGTGTTGGCAGTCCTCACACTGTAGCATTGAAAAAATGTGATGTTCTATTACAAATAGAACATCACATAGATGTTGCTTTACACAAATAGATTGAGACTTCTAAAAATGCATATTTTGTTCATCTTAATGGAGCAATTTTTATAGCTAGATTGCTATTGAAACAAGGATTACCTTTTTGGGGCCATGATGAATCAAAGGCATCCTTATACAAAGGGAACTATAGGGAAGTTTTTAATTGCATAGCCAAGCACGATCAAGCTTTAGCCAAGGCAATGAGAGTTGATGCTGCAAACAATACACTACAAGGTTTTACCCCTGATGCAACGGCCTAAAAGCGTTGCAATATACCAAAAATGGTTGCGAAAGACAAAATTGCAACGGAAAATTTTCGTTGGCAGGCGTTGCCATAGTAACCATGGGGAAAGGTTTGCCCAACGACTCTCTTTGGTGTTGCAATAGATTTTCCCCTATTGCAACCCCAGAAATACCTATTACCACGAACCCAAAGTGTGGCAATAGGTGCACTAGCAACGATATTTGGTGTTGCAATAGACCTTATTGCCACGCATCAATAGCATTGCAATAGATGGACCCTCTATTGCTACGCTATCTCGGTGGTTGCTATAGGTGGAACCGTCTATTGACATGATAAATATTTGGTTGCTAGAGGTAGCCTCTCTATTGCAACGATCAATACTGGTTGTTATAGGTAGAACCGTCTATTGCCACGATAAATATTTGGTTGCTAGAGGTAGCCTCTCTATTGCAACACTAAACATTGTGGTTGCTATAGGTGCATCCGTCTATTGCCACGGTAAATGTTTGGTTGCTAGAGGTTGCCTCTCTATTACAACGATCAATACTGGTTGTTATTGTTGGACTCTCTATTGCCACGCTAACTATTGTGTTGCTACGGTTTGGAGACTCTATTACAACGCCCACTATTCCGTTGGTATGATGTTTTTTGCAACACCGTTTGTTTGTTGCTATATCATATATTGCAACGCCAAATTATTTTGTCGATAGTCTATATTGCAACGCTTTGTTTGCTTCAAACAATAATTGCATGCCGAACAATATACGATGAAAGAAGCATTTAGACATCCATTAATCCAAAATATGCTTTGTTCGTACAACTCATTAATGAAACCACATCCAATGTCAAACTTAGTTGATAACACACGCACAACAACTGAAACACATAAGGTATCTGACGCACAGTAGCTACTTTGAACAGTTCAAAATGTAATAAGCTATGTGTAGCACTGTAGCAAAGGTTGGCTTGACATTGACCGTCCATCAGTTGTGCGCTCCACTCAAACTCTATCTTGTTCCTGAAACAATCATTAACATTGGTATATTCAGCAAACAGAAACTTAGTATTCAGCTAAGTATCATTTCACTTTACAGTAACAGGAACTAGCCAACTAAATCTGATTCAGAAATATTCACAGGTAGTGGAGTCAAAAATCACCTGTGCTTTGCCAGCTTGTTGATTCCTTTTGGATAATGCTCGTTTCTTAGCCGCAGCATCCCTCAGTGCTTTAGTAGTAGTAAAACTAACTGTCGTATCCCCTCCTTTGTTTTGGCCAGTTTGAGTCTTATTCGCAGCACTATTTCTAGTTGTGCGACCATTACTTGTACCTGCCGCTGTTGTAGCTACGAGTTGTGTTTGTGGTGGGATGCTATCTTGGTTTTCCTGCAAATCAATAGATGGAGGGAAAATTATGCCTCATACTAAGGACTATCACATGACAACATTAAACACTCTTCAGTTCTTAAACTACCTGCTGATTTTTGTTTCTAGTTATTTTATTTTAAATGTGTTTGCTATTCAACAGAGGCGCCAACACCAAAGCTAGGGCCACTGAAAATACTTTGCGGGCGAATGTGGGCTGAGCTGAGCACGCCAAAGCTCGGGACACTGAAAATACTAAGCAGAGGATAGGATAAATGAATCCATAATGCCCACTTGCAGGTGTTGTCTTTGAATTGTAGAATGTAACCAGATAAATAAATACAAGGGGAAAAAATTCTACACTATGTAACAGAGCCGAGCAGATAACATTGAATGCAGTTGTTGTCTTTGAATTGTAGAACGCAGGTGCTAATTTCTTTTAATGGTGCTTGCCAAAATGTAGCTTGTAGAAACTCCAAAGGCCTTAACCGAAAACAAGTGTTCTGAAATATTAGTATTAGACTACTACGCAGTACTGCTAGCACTAGTACACAATCAACCATTCCAGGGAGTACACCTGAGCTCCAAACCTATTATTGCTCCAAATTAGACTTATGAATTAAAACCCAAATGCATGAGGCATTGTAACTGTACTGAATAGAAGTGCTAAAAGTTAAGATCACCTATAAAAATATTAAAATGGCACACAGTACATATAGAGTTCACACAATAAGCATGTTTCTTTCAGTAGCAGGATAAGCAGATCAAACATACTTACAAGTTCCCAGGTGACCACTGCCCCCAAAAATTGTAGGAATGCAGAGTGATTGCAATGTATTTCAACCATCACAAATGGATTTGGAATGAATTTCGGTTTCCACCACACAGATTGATTATCGCACAACATTCATAGAAAGGAAAACATTTCATTTGAAGCTGAGCTTAGTTTCAGCAGGCCTCACCTCTCCAATCCAGGAACAGCAGCATGAGAAGCTGAGGCAGCAGCGCCACTACTCCGCCTCGACTGTCTTCTTGGGCTCTGACGAATTAAGAACCATTGAAGAAAATTAAGCACAAACTATTGCATCTGCGAACGGAGAAGCAGCGTGTGGCATGAGATCCACCATGCGAATCGACTCCGGCTACCATCCCAGACTGTATTAAAAAAAAGAATGCTCTTTGTGCAGCAATTAAACAGGAAATCATGCCAAAACTATTTACCTCTCTTCTTAGTCTTGGTTAGAGGAGGCATTGCTTGCTGGTTGCTGTCAAGCTTCTTGCCACGACAACTCAGGTTTCGGACATAATGCTTCTCCTTCTTCGGTTCAATACCTGTCAAAACATCATGAGCCATCTCCCTGGGCTTCTCTCTGGCCAGCGCAATAAGAGCATCAGCCCCATCATTATCGTCGGCCATATACATGTTTAGAGCGAAGGCACACTTAATTACGAACCGTAGCTACACATAACTTGCCTAGCAAAATAAAAGAACTTGCATCAGTAGTCATTGTTTACGTTAACTCGTTATTACATTATCACAGAGCCATACATAAAAGCATAGAGACATTACACTAATTGAGCACCACAGGAAAATACATACACAACTTTGATTATAAGCTCCCGTCTATTCCTTTTATTTAGATGGTTCATTATCAGCACTAATCACTTCTAATGTCACTTGTACAATTTGATGAATAAGAATTAACACATGCAGGCCAGACACCAGATAAGTCAGGCTAGCAGGAAGCTAGCTACGTGCGTCCATAAATTTCCAACAAAGAAGCCAATACATTCACAACACGAGCACCAACCTGAGAACCAACCCTATCCCTAGATCCACAAATTATGGTACATCTCATAGAATTGCCATACACATTCATAAGGAGAAAACGGCGCCGGGGGGTGGGGGGGAGGGGGGGAGCACAGCACGGCCCAGATCGAGACCATGTCCAGGCCCAACCCAGCCCGGGGCGAGCAGGGGCTGCCCGGCCAGGCCACCGTAGTGGCAGCCAGCTCGCCCACCTGGCCAGGGCTGGCAGCGGCAGCACGTGACCAGCAGTACCGGCTAGGGCGCCGGCATCCTGCCCCTCCGAGCGCAGCAGGGAAAAGAGAGGAGGGGCGTCGCGGTGGAGAGGAGCAGGGGCGCCGGCAGAAGGAGTCGCCGTCTCGCCGAGGGAGAGAGCGACGGGAGAAGATTCGCATGAGAGGGGGCGCCGCCGCTCGGAAGAAGACCGAGCGTCGGCTTCTAGATTTGAGGGGCCGTGCATTTGGGCGGAGATAGAGTGGGGGCGGTGTATGGTATTGGTATGGATGTGAGGGTCCGGCGGGCTGCATTTGAGATTGAGATTTGAGATTTTCCTTGAGAGCAGGAGCGTGGGACTTTAGCCAATTTTTAGCTCGTGGCTGCGGTTTGCGGGGGCAGTAAGGTCGATAGAGGTAGAGCACGAGAGAGCAGTAGTAACCATTTTTTTAGATCGGTGTTATAGTTGCAATTTTATTCTTTTTAACTTTCTAATTTTTAATTAGATGTTAAAAAATAAGCATGGTCTATTCATTATATGTAATATACTACATATACTTTGGGGTTTTATTAAATTTTGAACTTTAATATTTTTGTACGGTAGTTGGGGCCATGTTTTTTTTTTGTTGCAAGGTGATAGCAGGGGAGTGTGTTGTTTCTCAACATAAGCTTTTAGTGGTAGACTTTCATTTTTTGGTGCGTGCCCATAGGGATAAATAAGCTAAGATTGAAAGAACAAAGTGATGGAAACTGAGAGGGGAGACGTCAGAGGTATTCAGAGAAATGGTTATCAAAGAGGGCTCTTGGAAGGAAGAAGAGGACATAAACAACATGTGGGAGAAGATTTTTTTTTGAACACAATCATGTGGGAGAAGATGACAACCAACATTCGAAAGGTGGCCTTAGAGGTGTGTGGAGTAACTAAAGAAAGTGGAGGCGAGGCTAAACATACTTGGGGTGAAACGAGGAAGTCCAAAGGGCTATTAAGAAGAAGAAAGAATGATATAGACGCTTGTACCAAGTTAAGTGCATTAAGGATGAAAGGGAGCATCTTTTGGTGAAAGAGGATGAGATCCGACATCGATCGATAAGAGTATTTTGATAAATTATTCAATGGTGAGAATACGGACACAACCATTTAGTTGGATGACTCTTTTGATGACATCAATAGGCGCTTTGTGCGGATAATCCAAGAATCTAATGTTAGAGAGGCGTTGAAAAGGATGAAAGGAGGTAAGACGATCGGACGGATGGTATCCCAATCGAGGTGTGGAGATGTCTCGAGGACATAGCTATAGTATGGCTAACCAAGCTGTTCCACCATATTTTTCGATCGAACAAGATGTCTGACGAGTGGAGAAGTATATTGGTACTGATCTATAAGAATAAAGGAAATATTCAAAGTTGTACTAATTACCAAGGAATTAAGTTGACGAGCCATACTATGAAGCTATGGGAGAGAGTTATCGAGCATCGCTTGAGAACAATAACGCGGGTCTCTATGAACCAATTTGGTTTCATGCCCGGAAGATCAACCATGGAAGCTATTTTCTTAATAAGACAAGTTATGGAGCGATATAGGGAGAAGAAGAAGGATCTACACATGGTTTTTATTGACTTGGAGAAGGCTTATGATAAAATACCAAAAAATATTATGTGGTGGGCTTTGGACAAACATAAAGTCCCAACGAAGTACGTTAGGCTCATTAAGGACATGTACGACAATGTTGTGACTAGTGTTCAAACAAGTGATGAAGACACGGATGACTTTCCGATTAGGATAGGACTACATCAAGGGTCGGCTTTGAGCCCTAATCTGTTTGTCTTAGTGATGGATGAGGTCATCATACCATGTTTCTACTTACAACTTATAACACGTCCTTCAACTCACTTCCATGCAGTAGAAATGCAATATACATAACTATCTCTCATATGGCCTATAGTAGTATACAAATATATTCTATATTTAATACTTCATACATGTGTCAAACATCCGATGAGACAACGACTAAAGTTTAGGAGGAGAAACCAAACACCCCCTCTTAGTCATCCAAACAAGAACATTTAATAATGAAACCATCTAACAACATATCCTTAAGTAACTTTTGGTATTAATTGAAAATTATTAAATTACTAATGATACATAAAGATTAAAATAATTTTAGTATTTTTCTAATTTAGCTTAAACATAATATATTCATCATTGTAAATTATTTTATTACTTTAGTCTGTTTATTTATTGATGTAAATTTTTTATATGATTTACAATTTAATGATAAGTATTTATAAATATATTTGTTTTTGTTATAACTAAAAAAACAAATGGCGCTGGTGTTGGATTTTCAACACGCGCGTGGGCGTTTGAGCAGAAAGAGGCAGGCGTGGCGCCTTTTTGGAACGCAGGGAGTGGAGAGTGCCAAAACTAGAAAAAGTGAAAAACTTTGGCGGCCAAAATAGGCGCTGCTGAAATCCAAATCCTTCGATTTATCCACACCTCCTCTGGCGGCCAAAACATCTCTCGGCTCCATCGCCGCTCCACGGCGCTCACCACGTCCGACGCCACCATTGTGAAGCGCAGCCTCTTCCGCATCCGAGCGCCGAGTTGGCCAGTCTTGGTATCTTGCCAGCAGTTCGGACTCCGGGGTGCGCCCGCAAAGGTGCACGCCTTGCCGAGCGCTTCTAGGTCGTAGCGTCGGTCGGTTTCTGACCAGATGTTTGGGGTCTCACCTCCACGATCAGGCATCTCGTGGCGACGAAGCTTGCAAGGAGGATTCAAAGGTGAGGACTTTGTTCTCCCTCGCCTCTCGTTATGTGGCTCCTATGGGGATTCACCAAATTTGATCTATGCAGCCCTCGCAACAGCCGAGATCAAGAGGTTGGAGGCGACACTGCAGAAAAATAAAGTAGGGGCCCACAGGCTATTCGAGCCAGCTATGGTGAAGTGCGGATCAACCTCTGCCTTATTTATTTCTCTGTTTAATTAATCTGAATCGTAGTTAAAAGTTTCTCTAATCCTTGTCTTTGCCCGGATTGAGAAATATTGTGGCTTTCGATGAAATTGGTTATTCTGTTGTTCGAGTGTCTTCTTTTGGTCTTGCATCGTAGGTGTTTGTTGGAATGCTTCATTAGTACCGCATCCGGAAGTACCGCTTACATTAGTACTCTTGTATCTGGAAGTCCTCCATCGGTTACGAGGAAAATGCTTTTCAATGTTAACATAGTACATTCACCTGAATTTATAACATCTATCGCCCTTTCTGGAAGGTTGATGGAATTTTAAATGGTTTAGTGACAGTAGTCTTGGAACATTGCCTTTGAATGGTTCTGCCAGAATTTGAGTCCATTATTTTATAAAAGAAAACTCAGTAATGAAATTATAAATATGTACTCCAACTCCAACATAGTGCTTTTGTCAGTCGTTTGATCACCGTTGCGGCAGAGGAGGAGATTGCGCGGTCGGTTAGGGTTGCGAGGCGGCAGCCTAGCAGCAGGCGACGATGGTGGCTAGTTGGCAAGGGGCGGCGAGTCGTGGGCCAGGCAAGGCGGCCTGGCTGGCGGAGCGGCGCAGCAGCAGACAGAGGAGGGGCACGCGGCGGCACAGGAGAGGAGGGAGGCGACACGCGGAGAAGAAGAGAAGAGAGAGGGATAAAGGGTTTAACCCTAAACTTGTTTGCTTTCTCATTAAGTGTCTCCCTCATATATATATAAGGGGGGTACAATTGCAAATGGGCTTAGCCCATGAGTTTATCCTCATTGAGACCTGATCTATAACAACTGGGCCTATTGCCCCTCGCTACTTTAACTATCCTATCGCCTTGTTCTGTTGTCGCCTTCTCGCATAGGTCTTACCGACCATGACATCTCTCCCCGCCTGGAGAATCTGCTCGTCCTCAAGCTAAAATTTAGGATAGAGCTTTTGGAAGAGCTCAGCATCTTCCCAAGATGATTTCGCATCCGGCTGGTTCTTCCACTTGATCAACACCTGAAGTTGTCCTCGGTATAGACCAAGAAATTTGTTTGCCATGCTAGAAGCAGAAAATGAGGGTGACATGGAAGTCGATCTACTTGATGTGGGAATCCAAGACATGAATCTATTAGGCCCAAATGAGGATTTGTCAAATTGGACAAGACCAGATAAGGAAGGCACAACTGGTGATGCCTCTGTTATTAATCAGGTGCGTGGCAAAGCAGTTCTCGAACCAGATGATGCGGTCTTACTTGATGAGGATGATGATGACGAAGATGACACCTACATTGATGATGGAGTTGTTGCACCAGTTGTGATAGAAAGCCTAGAAGATGATTTCTTTGTTAAAATACTTATCCTTTGTACAATAGTGATGTTTTTATGGATTTTTTTTGAAAACAATCTCATTGTCCGGGATAATGAATAGCTG